GGCTTTAAGGTCCTTTCCAACCCAAGCCACTTTATGATCCTACTGTAGCTTCATTTCTTTTAAGACCGCTGCTACAGGACTTTAACAGATTACATGAATCAAATTTGCAAGGTGTCACATAACATGTCTTTTACTAGATATTTGAGGGATTTCCTTGTGATAGCACCATGAAAATGTAGTATGACATACTGACTTATCAACAAACCCTGTTGAAACAGTCTTAAAACAGAAGCACGAGGATACTTTGAGGATGACCAATAGTGTCAAAGTTGGATTTTAATGTCTTAGTTTAGAAATCTAGTAGATTAGATTAGAATCTTAGCAGATCTCAATGTTTGTTTGCTCTGCATAGATGTTGATTTTGGTCTCCTGCTATCTTTACAAAACAGGCCAGAGGGGTCGGGGCAGAAAAAGTCAGATTTATAGAACTCTTCAGTAACTGAAGCACTTTTTTCTGATATGAACCACATATCTGAACTAAAATAGGCATATATTACTATTCCTTGCCCTCGTGGGATGGTTTAAGTGTATTTCTAGCAACGATTCCATCTACCTGAGGTGTAACCATCTCCAGAGCAATGGATGTATATGCTCTATGTATAAGTACACTGTCAAAAGCAAGAGCTCCACACCATTCCTACAGTTTTATTGATGGCATCTGGGGAGATCAATGTCATTAACACTGATTTCATGTAGATGACAAAAGTATCAAACCTACTCAAATACACATTTGGCATCTTCTATTGTATTATTAGGAGATATTAGCTGGCCTCTGGACTCACACTGGAGTAACAAAGGCACAGAGCTTCTAACTCTCTATGCTCAGGGTGGTGTCACAACACACAATCTCCAGGTGACTGTGACCTGTTAGAGATCATCTCTGGGGGCTTACTGGATGAACTCGATTGAAGTTTCCAAAGGAGAGAGCTTCAGTTAAGCTTCTGTAATTTCTAGTATGTGTTAAGAGAATGCCGATCTGAATGTTTCAGAGATCACATATTTCACAGATAAATATATTATATTCAGATATATGAGTTCCAAAAACTTGAAGACTGCGGCATTGGGTCAACAAGAGAAAGCAAGACTGTGGTCACAAAGGGAAGAAAAGAAGAGAGGGAAGAAAAGAGAAGGAAAAAGCAACTACTAAGTACTCTAACCCAGGTATTAGGGTACTTGGTAGGTGAGAGGAGTTGGTTAAGTTAATCACCAGCTACTTGAATAACTACTTGAGTAAGTCCAATAGATTTCTTTAACTAGAAAGCCTTCTTCTAACTAAAACTAAAAATTCTTCTTCACAGCTAGATGTTGTAATGTATGAACCGGGAAGCTGTGGCGGTCACTGTGTTCCTGCTACTATTCAAGATGACAACTCGAAGACATTCCAGGATCCAGGCATGACCTAACAGACCGTTAGCGGTCAATGTGCGGACACACAAACACACAGTCTCTGAGAGGAAATCAGTAGAACATCAATCAGTGTCGCACCCTTGAGATGAAGGTCAACCACACACACTGAGCTGCAACAGCAAGAATAGAGCCAGCAGAAGTCATCGTCCTCCTTTATTTATGTGTGTCCCCACGCCCCTCCCCAGGCCACACTGATGAACTGGAGAGAGTCCAGCAGCATTCAGCTTGGGCAATCTCCACTCCTGCAGGTTTTAAAAACTCAGCTGGCCAAGCTGATCTAACCAGGCTTAACCTTGCTTTAAGCCAGGGTTGGACTAGACCCCTCCAAGGGTCCTGTTCAAGCCAAATTTTTCTGTGTTTTTACAATAATAGCTATTTCTCTCTACTTCTAAACATCTAAGTAGGCTAATGTAATTTTATACTGTTTTGGAGAACTCTTCTTTCTTCTTGATATTTAAAAAATAGAAATCATGTGCAGATGCAAACGGGAATTGTTTTGCTTCACCAGGCATGATCATCATATTACTCTATTTTGTTGTGATGCCGTGCCAAAAATCAAGCATTCTGCTGTTTTCCATATACCGAAGCACAAAAGCAGAGGTCAATAAAGTGCAATCCTTTTACACACCACGCGGGGAGTCTGAGCCTAGTATGTTGTGTTCAGTGATAGACAACCAACATCAGAAGACCTATCTTACACTGGAGATTTTCAAAGAGCAGCAAGGAAGGATGCTGGTGTCTAACTTACAGAGATGTTAAATTAAAACCCAACATTTTAGCTGATGAGCAACAAAATCGGTGACAACTATCTAGATAAACCAAACAGTGTAAAACTATCCAACTGAAACATAAAGACAATGTCAGAACTAAGTTACCTACATTAGGAAATAGTGAGCTAGCAGAATAATCTTAACAAAAAGGCCATAAATAACAAATATGCACTGTATTACTACCATGAGATAGATGCAGTTCCCATATCATGTCTCTACTATTACAAGTCATTGAAATTGCAAACCTGAACGTGCTCATTTGTGCCTACTCTAATTCTGTTTTGCTTTGCATTGTAATTAAACTTCTATACTGGATATTAAGAAATAAACAGTATATAAAAAAATCAAATCTCACACTATCTACTGAAAAATAATTGGTTTTATAACATGTTAACTTTTCAGGAGAGAGTATACAGTAACTCGACTTTTCCATGTACCATTTAACATAAGGCATGATTAAACTGTTTACCCTTGCAAAAGTATCCAGCTTGTCTTTGTCATATAAGATTCTCAAACATACAGGACAGCAGGCTCCTATGTGAATACAAAAAGCAAATAGTGTTTTCACTTTGAATAAGCAGAAGTCAAAAGTTAAACGTCAACTGAGAATGAAAACAGCAAAAGTACCAAAGCAAAGGGAATCTTTCCATTTGTTAGCAGAACTGCACAATTTCTAAGATTTTTTTTAGTGTTGAACACCTTTACAATGCAAAAGCAGTCACCTTTCAACACACGTTTACTACTACCAACATGAAGCAATAAGATGAATTTTCTTCTGTTTGAAGAAGATACGTTATTGTAAGCTAAATGTACTCCAGGCTAAGGTTTTGTATGGATGCACGCATATGCAACTACAGAAATGATCAATTTCAAGAGCTGAAATAGCTAGGACATGACAGAAGCAATTATGCACACTGCAAACATTAATTTATGCAGTTACACCATGTTGGAGCTTAGAATCTTCATACAGTATGGGGGGGAAAAGGACTTGTCTGACAGGTTTGTTTTTTAACACAGACCATGTCACATTGCTCCTGTTTTTCCTCACCACCTCAGAAACCAAAGGGCTCATATTTCAACTTTCTACCCGTGATTGTATACTTAATTCACTCCCCCAACTTGTTCCTTGTAATGCACATTCACAGGGTGACTTTTACAATATTAACTGTAATACCAATGCACAAAGACCCTTTTTCAAATCAGTGAAGGAGAAAAATGCATGGCCTCAAGTTACACCAGGGAAGGTTTAGGCCGGATATTAGGAAAAATTTATTCACGGAAGGAGTGATGAGGCATTGGAACAGGCTGCCCAAGTGGTCAGGCATTGGAACAGGCTGCCAAGGGCAGTGGTGGAGTCACCATCCCTGGAGGGGTTCAAGAAACGTGTAGATGTGGTGCTTAGGGACATGGTTTAGTGAGTTAGGTGGTGTTGGGTTAGACTTGATGATCCTTGAGATCTTTTCCAACCTTAACGATTCTATGATTCTGATTTTTAAAAACTGAGCCTTCCTCGCTCTGTGTATTACCTGTGATTAGTTACTGACTGTTTCATAAAGGAAGTATTTGTGAAAATAACAACACACCAGTTCAAAACAGCGCAACTGCAAAACTATCCCTACTGTTTTCCTCTTTCACAGTACTGTAAATCCATACGGTATCTTACTTTGTCTTCTAATTAGCTATTATCTTTGTTCTTCTGGGAAATCTCCTTTGACAACAGTTTGGCATTCCAGTGTGGTATTTGTGCTGCCACTTCTGAAAAATTACTTGTCTGATTCCCAGTAACATTCTACCCTAGACACCACAGACCTCATTTATTTCTCCCAAACCAGTCCTATGGGGACAGCTGCAAGTTTCTAAAGACCAAAGGAGCGCGACTCCTGAAGTCAAGGCCTTTCCACTTCAGAATTACTGGGCTGAGTCCTGACACTGGCTTGTTCTAGCCCTAAGTAAATATCTCTACTTCATCTTTTTTCTTAGATGTCTCAAGGACATGAGGGAAGACAGTATTTTAAAGCAGAAGTCTTGTTCCAAATATATACCTATTGATACACGCAGCCTGGAGACTCTCTCCTACCTGCGGTCAACTTCAACAACAAATTAACATACCTGGTGCAATAACCGGTTTGCAGCCGGTAGCAGAAAGCTGGGGACATTTAACAAAGGCACACTCCGTATGAAACCCGTAGTCTGAGAGAACACCTACAGCCTGACAGGGTCCGTAATAGTCAACAGCCACACGGTCGGAATAGGCGGCACAGACGCTGCTGTAGGTTTCCCCGTTGTGTCCACATACAGGTTCCACTGATCTGCAAAACGACTGAAACGCACAGAAATATTTCCAAGATCGATTTATTCATGCTGCAGACAAATCGTCAGAGTAGTTTTAACATTAGGAAAACCAAAGTTAATGGGAATTTGATGATAATATTGTCAAGCATTCAAAAAAAGCCGTAAATCTAGAGTAAACAAGCTGCCAGTTTATGAATGGGTAATAATTGCAAATAATAAGTACTTAAAGAAGGTAACAGAAAAAACGGAAGCTGGAATCTGAGAAATGTACAATATGAAGTTCTGTGAAACCACAATTTTTGTTCTGTGCTAATGCTTAAATAAAATGACAATTTAAATTAACTTATTAAATTATTATTATAATTTTATTACGTATCAAAGCATTATTTTATCAATAAAGTATTAAGAAGATATTTGCTATTGTAGCATTTATAAATATTTTAATTACTTCTTAATATTTATTTCTTAATTCATCTCAGTGTGTTTTTGTGTTCTTAAAATTTAATGTGTGCGCACATGTTTGGTGACTATCCCTGGAGGTATTTAAAAGATGGGCAGACGTGGCACTTAAGGACATGGCTTAGTGGTGGGACTTGACAGTGTTAGGTTTACGGCTGGACGCCATGATCTTAAAGGTCTTTTCCAATCTAAATGATTCTATGATTATATGTATTTCTAAGACAGTACTTGAGAAGCTAAATTTACTATTTACTTCAAAAGAATAAAATCCATTACTAGACACCTCTGTCAAAAATACATTTATTGTTGAGACCTTTACATCTATAAAAATACATTTATGTCCATTTTCTTGCCGAAAGACATATCTAGCGTGTCATTTGATTCAAACACATGTAGACATCAAATAAAATTGTAATATAGTTTCTTCCTATCCCATCTGTGCATGTATATTAGCCCAACACATTCAAGAAGTCAAATGCCAATTAACGTAAGCTTCTGAACACGGACAGGAGCAAATGGAATTGCTGACTCTTCACAGACAAGCTATGACTAATACTTTTGCCCAAAGTCTTGTGAAATGACACAACTCATTCCATAATTTCTTGCTAAGGTCTAAATATTTTATTAAACTAACTAATATTTCAAGTAATTCAGCACAGCTATAAGATCACTGTATGTCCTCTGAAACTGAAAGAGTTTCTACGTTACACATCTAAGCCAACAAAAAAACCAGAGAGAGGACAAGTAAACGTGAGCACGCCAAATACTGTCACATCTTGCAGTCAGCTTCTCTACAAAATGAAGGGTGAAAACTTAAAGCTACCAGTGTCAGAGACTTTGTGAACATGGGTACAACTAGACATATAATTGCTGGAGAAAAAAACCCAGCCATGCAATATTCCTTTGATCCTTACTGTTCAAGGGCTGAACATTCTTTGAGTATCTCATGAGATATCTGATGTGCAATGAGAGGAATTAGCTGTACTTAACGAGGTTGCTGAAAAAGGGCAAGAAAAAGAAGGCATAAAGACAGAGAGGCAGAAACGAAAAGCAGGTTAAAAGAGCTTATAATACAGAAAAACCCTGAAAAAATGTTCTGTACTTCTAAGAATATCCATCAGCTGAGACCAAGAGAAGGTCTCAAATCAATTAATCTTCATCATTTGAGAAAAACCCCGAGATGAACAGCCTATCAACAGCAAAGCCAGCAACTTTGGAAAGAGTAGCTCCTGACTTTTGCTGTAAAGTGACAGAAATAGCTTACATACCAAATCAGTAGGGAGCGGTGGGATGGAAGAACTAAACCTAATGCTAATCTTAATCCTTCTCAGGGATTAGTATGAAGACTAATCCAATATAGACTAAAGAAAATATTAGACTGCCTAGTCTCCAACAAAACTTAGGTGTAAAATAGATACTGAACAACGAACTTGGTAAACCCGGGGCACAATCACACCAAACACTAAAGATTTTCTATGATTGGGCATTAATTTTTATTTAAAACAAGTTCAAATTGGTGAAAACTAGCATTTAACTAACCAAGGAACTGCACTAATTGCTGCAAACATTTAATAGCTTTAATAGAGAAAAATACAGGAAGACTTAACACAAATATCAGAGTATTATCCCCAAGAAAACATAAGTAAAGCTTTTGATTGGTTTTGAGACAACCGTTAACTAAAGCAGAGAAGCACTTGACAAAATTCTGAATACAATTTGGTGAGAGAATTTTTTTATACTAGTGAAAATTACTTTTTTAAAGGATTACTTTCAATTTAAAACATTTTGTAAGCCATAAAACCCAGAAGATTGCAAAGTTGAACATTAAAGAACAAAGAAGATTTGATATTTATTGCTAGAACTGCTTCCTACCTGGCATGGTCCTCGGTATGCTAAACTTTTTCCTTTTTGGTACAAAGTACACAAGTTACTGTATTCCACATTGTCTGTGTCACAAACAGGATCCCGCGTCTGGTCACAATTTAACTGCCTTGGCACACATTCATGCTGGCTACATTCGAACTTTCCAAAACTAGTCAAGCAAACTTGTTTCTTTGGTATGCACCTGCATAAGGTAATAATAATTTCATAGCATGTCATAGGATATTTTTTTTAAGTCTCAAAATATTCAGAAAAAATATTTTCAGTTAAATCTTTTCCAGTGCTTTAGAGCTAACTA